TGAAGGCGTGATACACTATGCGTTTCGCTAACCTAAATAAGTTGTGGATCTATTTGAAGCGTGATACACTATGCGTTTCGCTAACCTAAATAAGTTGTGGAAACCATCTGCCATTCAAGCAAGGTGTTCATATACTGGACTGTTTTTTCGGTCCCCTCACCAGTGTACATATCAACTGGATCACTCCTATCACCTTGTCTTACATAGACCTGTGTCCATGACTCCAACGCAGCATTTCCGCGCGTGATTCTTACTCGACTACCCTGAGTCAGACCAAGATGACCCTTTTTCTCAACCTCAGTGTATCACTGCATGAGCCTTCGAATGAAAATATGTTTTCTTCTTTTTACTAGTGTGTATGTTTTACCGAACACCCTGTTGTTATTTGGTGGGCTTTGTAAATGATTGTGTGATTTTTTCTATCCGGCTTGGTGGTTTCCTATGGCGTTGAATATTTGAAATTTACTTCATAGCTTTTCAGCCTACCTACCGGATGAGATTTTATTTAATTTTCTAGAGATCTCTACACGTTGCAAGCTTGCGATAGGTTTGTTGGGACAAAATTTTGTCTTCCTGGAATAATGCTTCCACCCGTGAAATAGTCGTTCTTGGAAGTGCTCGAATGGAAAATACCTGGTGCTTTTTTAAGAAAGAACTGGTGACTATATAGCGCGTCCATTTGTCAGTTAACCACTGTGCTGGTCGGGATCTTTTGGTGTAAGGGTTCGGTGCCTAAACTAGTGGCCGAGTGTTCATGTGTTCAGAACTCCTTAGAATTTGGTGGAAATGTGCACTCCTGTACGTATTCTCGGATTTACTGCGTAGAACAGCCTCATCAAAAGGGCGAAATCTTCACAAACTGAGAGAAGAAAGGTCCTTAATTTTTTGTAAAATCTCCCATCAATCTGAAGGTAAATTAATGAAAACCTTTTGTTATTCAAAGTCTGCTTCCAAATGTTTGGTAAACAACTGTGTGCATAAAATAAAAGCATGGAAAGACTATGGTGGTGTGACAACCGGGCTATTATCGTAGAAGACATGACAAATTGGTGCAGTGAAATTTTTTGCATTGATCAACTACGGACGTAGCGGTCGGTACGACAGGCTTGTTTTTTCACGTGGATAGGAGTTTCGTCATAGATATTGAGATGTTTCCAAACCTAAGAGAGACTACCAATGAAAAATTCACAAAAACATTCGATCTTCAAAATGCAGTTAAAAAGTTCCAGGTGATTTGATTTAGACTTTTCTCCTTTCCGATCAATCCGTTCGCTCCACATGCACACTCTTGTGGCCTGTAGCCGGCTTACACCTCACCGCTCATTCTGGCATTGTTCTGATTCGTGCGTGGCAAACAACGGGCTATCAGGTTCGTATAAATTGTCTGATGGTCACACATAAAGTGCCAGACTTGAAGCTATAACTACTGGTAAGCGTAAGTATTGAAACTGTGTTCTTTGACACTGTGAGTTGTGAGTCATATCTGGAACCAAAAAAACTTTCCCTTTTTCTCACATGTAGTTTTTACAGCTAGGCGTGACTACCTCCAATCCCGATAGTAAGACTGACAGGTCAAACCAGTTGGCAAGGTCTCCCATACATATGAACGTTCCAATTCTCCGCATACTTGGTGTTGCAACTACCATCGCGTACTGTTGCGCTAGTGAAGGTAATTATTTCGATGAATAACTGAGTGTGAGCATTAAGTGGTGTAACCTAAAAAACCGTACAAAACCTGAAGATTAGTGTTTTTATCATTTCGATGCTTATTTGTCTCTTTAATGTGTTGAATAAAGTCAGGTGCCTGTTCAGAACACAAGCAAGGGATTGAGCGACAGTTTTGGTCCAGTGTTCTGAGTAGTGGGGCTAATCAAAGAAACCTTTGCGCATTCATTTTCAAAGGATTTCTAAAGGGTCACGAATATGATAATGTTTTGTTTGCTGCAGAATGTGCTGTGTAACTAGTTTAACGTTATTTACTATTTACGACGGACGAATGACTAAAAAGTCACGATGCAAAAGAAACATTAACCGGATTATTGTTTGCTTCAATTGAGATAACCGCTCAATTCCAAAGTTTCCCACCTTCTAAAAACGATCAACTAGTTCAGCGTGTATTATCCATGCTCTTGCTCCTTGCACATTTGGTTTTCGCGATGTTCCCGCCACACCGGTCCTCAGTTGGCGTTGTAATAGAAAATCAAGCCGTGGCGTGGCAAGTCTGCACTGTTCGGAATTACGTTACGAAAGAGTTATAGTGATTGTTTCAGAAGCGCAATGCATTTAGACAGGGAGTTAACGCTGCAATTTATGCACTTGTGCTTACTTCTATTTGAACCCAGTTCCAATCAGTTCTAGAAGGACACTGTGATCAGCGACGTTCAACAACACGTGTGGGAATTATCAGTTTCTGGACAGGATACGGATTGACTAAACGAAGGAAAAAGGATTGCTTGAATATCTGAAGTAGAGAGTGTATAGCGGAGCCGGACTCTGCCGGAAACCAGATACGCGATTTCTACCCAAATGTGGGAATCCACGGGGACAAGTTAACGAAGAGTGTCCCGTGCTTTCAAGCAAACGAACAGAACTGAAAGCGTGAATTGACACAAGGCGACCAAAACTACTAATTAACACCTTATAGTTAGTCAGTACATTTAAAATCTATCTGGTTAGAGAGAAAGTAGAATATTGTAAGAATCCTCTAACCTGTAATTTAACGACGCCCAAAAAACTTTTTAAGGTCCTCTTTCGTTCCTTACCTGGTTTGACCAAGCATCCTCTCTCTTCTTTGCTACAAGATAAAAAGTTATATGTTGTACTTATCCTCGTTTTGTTGACGGGTCCCAGAGCTATTTTCAACAGTTTTACAAGTATATTATTCTCATGCCTTAGATTTACTCCGGAAGATTATCGGATCCAGTTAGAGCATTCTAAAGGGATTTCATCTCAGTACCTAGACAACTCTTGGAATAGCTTTACCTGATTCTGAGTGCTTGTTAGACTTCCGCTGAAACACTTGTTCATCTATCCGGTTTTATTGTGGATTTGGGTAGAAAAGATTAGAAATAATGCCACAACTTAGTACATATAAGATGAACAACAAGACAGGTGTGAACACTGATATATCTGGACTTTCCCATCCCCTCCTCTACAGTGGAGGTCCGTTTAAACTATCTTATACCATACAATGAATTACCGAACTTACAATCATTTATGTGAGTGGAACTTAAGCTTGACAAAAAACTTTTCACGAAGAATAAACGTCAGGGATCAAACAAGTGATCAGACAAGTAGGTATATGATTTGACTGCTCGATATGCAAGTGGCTGGGGGTTTCGAAAAAGACTGAATTTACGATACACTTTTCATCTCCATAAGGCACCTGAAGAAACCAACCAAAACAACCCACTTTCAGTTCGTAGTCGCTTTGTGAAAATCACCAGTTGAAAACGATAAAATCATACTTCCACTGACATACTATTCATTCGAAAAACCCGCGGTATCTTGCGTCGAACAAATTAAACTGTGTTTTCTTGCGGTGGAGCGATCATAACAGCGATATCAGGGCGTTTGCCACGTCAGTACTTCCACTGACATACTATTCATCCGAAAAGCCCGCGGTATTTTGCGTCCAACAACTTAAACTGTCTTCTTGCGTTGGAGCGATTACAACAGCGATATCAGGGCGTTTGCCACGTCATCCAATTTATTTTACAACCAACTCCAAACCTATTGAAGATTTTGCAGCGCACTCGAAAGCCATCAAATAAAATCAAGTTCTAAATGGCATCTAACGGAAATTGGTAACTTCGTGGAGCAGCAGTTAGGTGATTTCCGGTTTTTCACAGGATTCTTTGGGTTTGAGTTTTCTCCACATATTTGAGAACCTGACTAGCCCGACTGTTTTTCCCGGTTTAATTTTGTGTAAAATTTACTTAGTGAATCTAAACATTTTTCCCTTATTTCCATTTTCAGTATTACTTTCACGTCCTTTTTTAGGGGTGTTCAGATTTTGGGGCAGGCGAGTGATGTGGACTGCAAACGAAACTACTTTTCGTGGGATCTTTTGCCTGAGTCCACTGGCATGTACGGCATGTGGGACTTGCTATCCAAGCCACCGATAGCGTTACAAATTGTCAAATTTCGGAAGCATTTTTCCTCATTGGCGTTAAGCGTACCGAATATTAACCATTTGCGCAGTTTCTCATGAGCAGCTTTCATCAGTGCATCCAACCAATACTGAAGTTCTTTTGCTGAAACAATTTCATTGGCAGCAAACCGTAAATTAAGCCACTCTAATATGCACCTAACGTATGTTCGATTGGAGAAAAGATTATTTGCGCACACTCCCCGTTTTTTCGATTGTGTATCGTGTGGTATGTAGCTGCAAGGCAATTTGTGATCATTTGTTTGCCCGGCAAGTTTTCAGAATCGAGACTTCAGATAAGGAAGTGGGCCGTCGAAGAGTTTTCAGTAACCTTATGAGTGGTTTCCTTTATGAAAGTGAAATAGACGTTTTTGTGCATTTCTTAGATTGCTGTAAGGTTAGCTTAGGTTGCTGCAAGCTGATCACTGTCATTCATAGCTTGATAGGAAGCTCTGCCAATTGTTGCGCCTTTTTAGACGATTGTTAGCTACTTGGCGGTTTACTGGTATTTCGCGTCTCCGAGATAGGTTCCACTTTTTCAAGCACTTACTCTCTTGGTCTGATTGACAGTCATTCTGAAACCATGGTACGATAATGCTTAGCTTTGGCTTTAGGTTGAGGTTTTGTTGAACTGGTTAATTTATCAGGACCAAAAAGGCAGAAGAAACAAAAAATGTGTTGAACTTCACTCGACGAGCATTTATGTCATTGACTATGGGATGACAAAATGTTAGTAAAATGCAAGTCAACCTATCCACAACGTGAAAACACCTATAAGGTGACAAAATGTTAGTAAAATGCAAGTCGACCTATCCACAACGTGAAAACACCTATAACATTCCTTCCAGGCTGGTCTTACTCTGAAAATGGACCTGAAAAGTGGGCGGCCAGCTATCCGAATTGTGCGGGTCAGTTCCAGTCACCAATAGATCTGGTAGACGCTGAGGTGCAGTACAATTCAAGTTTAAAGACTGTGAAAATGATTCGGATGAATGAAACCGGAATTGAACAGTTGAGCTTGGATTTATCGAATAATGGACATTCAGGTAAGTAATTCATCATGCATTTTACTAAGAGGCGAAAAATAATTTTGGCAAGGTTCTATTGAAATTTCTTTATCATCGTAAGGTGTAAACGTGCATCAAGGTACAAACAGGATCAAATACTTGATCAAATATCTATTTTGATTTGTACTAAGCCATAAAAATCGAATATGCAATCAGCAACTAGTCAGGATACATAAATCTTTGCCATGCATTCTTGTGTGCAAGCGCAGATTAGCTTTCCGGAGCGAGCATTTGGCGTGTCATTTGAGGGGACTGACAAGGCGAGTTATGAAGTCAAACAAATTCACTTCCACTGGGGTAGTGATGGAAATGGCGGTTCGGAACATACGATAAATGGCAAAGCATATGTAATGGAGGTGAGTGTCAAGTATCATTTTATCGGCTTATGGGTCTCGGGTGAAGTATTCCTCATTGGCTCTTTGCAATAATCATTTGAGAAGGATACACTTAGGCTTTAATTGACGTCATCTACCATCAACCTGTTTGCTGGGCTTAGCAGTTGTCTTGGTAGGTATGTCAACATTCACTTGATAACCAGACCATGCACCAGCTACTAATATCTCGACTTTTCACGTTGCAACTTTCCATTCGTTTGTATCTGTTTCCATCTCTGTTTGTATCACAGCGTTGTGTGCTTGTTGCAAGCTTCTTGTTCATAAATTGAGAGTTTAATTCTTACACCTGATGACACTGAAATCCAATAATTCCAATTTCTCATTTGTTCTCACGGTATCTGTTGAGAGTGACATTTGCTGAAAATATGCTGATATTGTCGGTTCAGTTCCTTAATGGATAAACAGCTGCGTCCTTCTAAATACGTTAATTGTGATAAAGTGTATAACTACAACCTTCTCATCTATATTATAGACACATGTGGTGACTTTCAAGAAGTCTTATGGTGACTTCCAAACCGCGCTCACAAAAAGTGACGGCCTGGCCGTACTCGGATTCCTCCATGTAATCAATGATAATGCACGGCCAGATGAAAATCAAATAAGTGCCATGGGCACTTTGGACACAGACCTTCAAAAAATTCGCAAAGCTGGTGAAACAACCAAAATGAGAGGGTTCAATTTGCTGGAAATAATGAATCAAGTTGATCACAATTCATACTACAGGTATGGCGGATCGCTCACGACACCTCCTTGTACGGAGAACGTTATGTGGACAATATTCCGACAGCCAGTTTTCATTACAAACAAGCAGGTATGATAAAAAATTGATAATTTGTGAAATCCAGAGTAATACGATTTACGTTCACTTTCATAAGCTAGAATTTAAATGGATTCAAACCCGTTATAAGGTAGAAAAATTACAAAATACCACTCCACAACAGTCTGCTTGATATAGTTCTTCCCAGTAAAACCACTTTTGGACGTGTACGTATGTAAGATACTGGGCTACTTTAAGTTTCACGACCATTGGAGAACAGACTACTTCTACGATCGCTCGAATTGATGTTTTATATGAAGAAAGCCACATTGGCATAGGCAGAATATTTTTCATTGTAGTGGCGCAATGCTGACCTGCATGGATACGTGAGCAAGTTTTTATATCCAGTGTGTTCGCTGAGAGTTTCAGACTTTTTGGCAATTCCCATTCCTTCATTCGAAGACGTAGTTTAGTCGTAGGCCTACTGTTCAGCCCATATGCGTGATGAGACTGCTGCGGCTGGATACTCGATGGAGTTCCTAGTAGTCAGTAGGACTCCGATATTCCTTCATATGATGTGAGACAAGCAGGCTGCCCCCAGGTTTACCTGGAACGATCCTCGATGAAGAGAGTCGCCAAGTCCACACGTTTCGTCAACTCAAAAGGAAACATTCGACCTGATTTATGTTTAAGTTGTGTGTGGCTTACAGCATTCACCTTATTAAGGTATGCTTATCCTTAGCATTCTTAGTGAACGACTGCTGTGAACTTCTGCGTCTCTGAGTTTACAGGTACCCAGTCTCCACCCAACCTGGTTGATAGATTTGCATAAGAGGAACCGCTGTGGATCTGAATTGACTGACATCTGTAGGATATAAGGGTATGCAGTTACTTAAAGTGATTTACACTGAGTCCGCGAACAACATGTTTGCGGTATGACCAGACAGTGATCCGACACAGGAATTTGTCCAGTAATTGAACATTGTTTGCAGTCAATCAAAACTTACAGTACCAGGCTTGCGCGGCTATCTAACCATGCAAACAGGTTAGTCGTAATAGGCAAACATTCTCAAAAAGCGCACACTGACCGGCCAGTGACTATGAGTTGAAAGTTTTCTACTGATCGGATAAGATACATGCTAGTAAAGACTCTCTTTAGCTGAGTGAAGCAGAGGGTCCAAATCTAATAGAGGGCTTCTGCTAACAATGCTCTTTATCCTTTTCATTCTCAACCAACACAGGGAGGTGGGGATTTGCCATTCACTAGAAGTGACATCATATTTTGTTTTGCAAAACTTGTTTAAATACACCTACTAAACAGGCGAGTGTGCCAGTCCTATGAGGTTTGACTAGGTCACCCGGGCGTTACTTAACTCCACTGCACTTAGTCGCCAAGCCCGAATCAATTCAGTGGTTTTATTATACCAACCAAATAGGTGGGCCTTTTTAAACTGGAACGAAACCTGATAAAGACAGGACGTTTCCTTGAAAATCTCTGTTAGCTTTAAACGACGAAATCAAATGTATTAGCCACATCTTAATCTGCAACACCTCCAGCAGTACTCAGAGTGTTCACTAAATGAAGTGTGTGAGCAGATTTTGTGGGACAGCTGTTGACAGTGCTTTATAACATTCCGTTCATCATAATTTTTTAAACGCTATTTTAAAGCTACAACAATTCCAAGAGCTGCGTTTTCCTGATGGAAGCCCAATGAAGAATAACTTTCGTCCGGTACAATCCGTAAACAGGAAGACGCGCACAATATTTCGTTCGGGACACAAATAATTTACAACATGGGGGACCAGGTTACGAGTGCTGCAAATTATGTTTGATGTCTAAGGAAGTGGGGTTTTGAATAAAAGCCATGTTGGTAGTTGGTGAATGACTTCTACTCACATACCTCATGGATTACTTAAACTCCATTGGCAAATTACAGGTAAAAAAGATTGTCCCAGTCCCAGTTGCCGCAAACAAATCTGATGCTCATCGTAGCGGACAGATAATTTGAGATCCAGGTCTGTCATGGCAGTTGTTAAACTCGTATCCTTGCGGGTTCGAAGAAGTCCGGAACCATGGAGGGAAAAGTCGACCGCACTCTCGAACGACTAGGTGTTGTGGACCACAGTATTCTTAATGCCTTCTTAATAGAGTGAACCTGAGTGTGGATGGTCACTTGATAGCCTGATGCGCTTAACCAAATGAGAAAGCCACTGGACGTGCGAACTGGCTGATCTATTGAACACTGACGCCTACAGGCGTGTCATGTTTAGCCAACAACGGGGCATTTATAAAGATCACATGGAAAGTTCTAGGCGGGCCAAAAAGTGATACTAAAAACAGAACTCAGCTGTCAAGGTCAAGTGAAGAACAACCAATTAAATCTGTCTCAAAGAAAACGCTTATTCCATTAGTCCAATTATGTTCGTAGCTGGTTCGTCTAATACCGGGGTAGGTTCACGAACTATACCATCGCTTATTTTTGAAGAGCATCGTCACAGACTAAAAATAAAGCAGGCGATAGATATAGAAGTGTTACATGCGAATACTGGATAAAAAGAGACAGGTGTTTCATTTGAAGTTGTCACCAGCAGTTCCAGTCAGACAAGGTGAATCCAGACGTACGTACGAATGTTTGATATGGAAACACGTGTGTAAACAAGTTGTCACAGCAGTTCCAGTCAGACAAGGTGAATCCAGACGTACGTACGAATGTTTGATATGGAAACACGTGTGTAAACAAGAACTACCGAGGATAGGACAAACAGTGCTGAATGCTCTTGAAGGCGCGGTAAGCGCTAGCAAAGTCAAGACTAGCACCTCAGCACAAAATGTCCATCTTGCTCTGTTGCAAGATTCAGTGGCAAGGATACGCACGTCATATGCCACATTCTACATGATCACTCCGCGATCATCCGAGACTATGCTGACGTCTATCACAGTTGCTCGGCGCTCTCGAAGAGCAATTAGGTCAGGCTTGACGAAGGACGTCGAAGTAGGTGCTCTCAACTCCTCGAAGACGATGTATCCCGGGCGACGGAGAAGTTTTGGAAGTTTCTTTGCAACCCGATTATGACGAGCACAGCTAGCATCACGTGTGATTTAGCTGAGATCCCGAACAATCTTTCCAAATGCGGAATCGTTGACCGCCTTGCGTGACACTCTGCACTGGGTAGAAAGGAGCTTTTCCATACGCGCTCTAGGCTGCACCTGGATGGCTGCACTCAGACGTGGGATACCCAGTCTCCCATGTTGTTTACCGGCGTGGATGTAGCTGATCGGGGTGTCCTAGATATATTGTCCCGTTGACGCATTCAGACCAGCGACCGCAGAATTATTCTCAAGATTCTAAATGTTTTTGATATCCTCTCTATACTTTTGGGTTAACAAATGACCGATAAACAATCTGTGGCAAACAGCTGAGTTACGATTAGGTGCTGAGGAACAAAAAAATTTCAGAAATGATTACTATTTTTCGGTCCCTGCATTGATGAGGCGGAGCAAATCACTGAGAAAAAAGTAACGCCGTGCATGTAAAATGTGCCTGCCTCTAGAACAGACGGACACGCTTGGTGTGCTTGAAGGCCTGAGTGCTCCTCAATAGTCGTGAACTTTCGTTCAAGCAGGCTGTTACTGCTGCAGTTGGTCTAATTCTAAACACATGAATGTCTCTGCGGTACCTGTTCACCCCTGCAAACCAGGATGTGACCTAAATATCGACAAGTCGGGTCAGTTATGAGCACCTCATTCGGATTGACACACAGATAGACATTCCGTGAAAATAAGGAGGCGGTTTCTGTGCGGGGTTTCCCTTCATTGTTTGTGGGCTGCTATGCTGTCCATACTTGTGAGAAATATACCAACTCCTCAAAGTAAGTTGGAAACATGCTGTGGTGTTCGGCAAAATAAGAAAAAAAGCGTCTTTAGTTGAAAAGATGAATATATATTCACAATAATTCTTCAAAACTATTTGTTCTTAAGTCTTTACCATAATCCGTTCCGCAATCCATGGATATTGGTAACGTGAAGAGTGACAGCTGTTCTGTAGACTATACTACTTTACTACAACGCATCAAAACACGCTGTTCCTCCGAATGTAAGCTTGAGAGCTACTGCACACGAAATTCGAGAAGACCTATAGTTTCTACACATGGAAATCCCCAAGTGAGCAAAGTTGGAGATTCATCACTCTATTCATAATTACTGAAGCTGGTTGCAGGCTGATTGTTGTTGGCTTCATATGAGACGGTTGGACAACGGTAAGCGACTTTAAATGAACCATCACTATGGATAGATAACTGGGACCCGCGCATTTGCGAAACGCCGACAAATTTCTCCGGAAATCCAAGGCTTGCACAATGTATGGCATAATCATTACAGAAGTCTTTGTAGTTTACAGTGGAACTCAGTCCTTGTTACTCCAAAAATGATGATAGACTGACTGCAAAAAAATTCACTTAAACGGACTAGTTTGCCCCTGATTAGTTCTGATTGGTTTTCAGTGACATATCTCAGTAGACGACCTCTTATCGATCCTAAACCCGTTAATTAGTTCCGGTCAGTTTAATTAGCAGTCACACAATTCAAGAATCTGATGATAGCCAACAATAAAGTAACGAAATATACAGTCACCAGCCAGAGGACGAACTTTATCACGCTTTATCCGGAAGCAGTCGTGCTCACATTCGGAGAACAGTTTGAAGCATATAACGGGCCTGTTTACTGGAGAAAAACATTGCAACCATGGAGGGAGTGAAATGTTACTCCATCTGAATACGCTTAGCATTCAAGGCTTCCTGAATCCAGTGTATTTTTAGACGCGGACAAGGACCTTAGTTCTTTGGATACGGAAGAAGCCAAATAGCCGGGTCTCTGTGAAATATTTTCTAAATGACTACCAACCAAAGTATGGGAACCCTATTTACAGCCTTCAAGGTAAAATGAAAGCAAATGTAAAGAAACATGCGATAGATTCAATTGGCTTTGAAACCACCAAGAGCGTAAAACAAAACAAATAGTTTGCACTTTTTTGTTTCAACCCGGGTAGTGCAGC